CATGGGATCACAAAGAATCAGACACAACTAAGGGACTGAACAACAACAGCAAACTGGTGACTAATGGTGAATAACCTGATTCAGATGATTGTGTCATGTTTGAATTGAATGTAGCAGATGAATTGTAACCGGAGCTCTGAAGCGGCGTTTCACTCAAGTGGAGAGTTATAGGGGTTTCCTTGGTGGCTCAGACTAAAGAAACTGCCTGCACTGCAGGAGACCCACGTTCAACCCCTGGGTCAGGAAGATCCCCTGGAGAAAGAAATGGCTAACCACTCCAGTATTTTTGCCTGGAAAATCCCATGGACAGTGGAGACTGGTGGGCTATAATCCATGAGGTCACAAAGTGTCGGACATGACTGAGCCACTAACGTACACACATAGGGAAGTCCTGTGTGCAAATGGATGAAGTTCTTGGCCAAGACTACTCAATCACAAAGGCACTTTGTTCAGGTAAGAATGGAAATCTCTGAATTATCAAGATACTAATGAATTTATTTTTTAATTAAAAAGTAATACAACTGCAGTATTTCTGGGGGGAAAAAAAAATGTCTTCACACTGCAGGTAAGATGAGGACCATCTGGGTTGTGTATCCAGAGTCTGGTGTACTGGAGAATTCAAGTGCAAGCTTGTTCTGTATCATATGGGGTGGATATATGTTAAATTTCACATCAATAAATACCACGGCAACAGTCATGACACAAAAATAAATCTTATAAGAATCCAGATTCCTAGCCAATGACCCTTTTGAGATAATATTTAGCAGTATTTCAGCAGAGCTCAAGAATTTAGATCCCCCTGGGATTTAATGTATCTGACTTGTGTCTCCTGTAATCCAGATTAGAATTTCAAGGCACCCAGAATTCACTCCCATAGTCTTCATTATGTGTATGTCTGTGCTCAGTTGTTCTGTTGTGTCCAGTTCTTTGCATCCCATGGACTGTAGCCCAGCAGGATCCTCTGCCCATGGAATTTTCCAGGCAAGAATACTGGAGCGGGGTGCCATTTCCTGCTCCCAGAGACCTTCTTGATCCAGGGATCAAACTCACGTCCCTTATGTCTTCCACACTGGCAGGCAGATTCTTTACCATTAGCACCACCTGGGAAGCCCATAGCCCTATAGTCTTCATTGGTGGTGGTGGTTTAGTTGCTAAGTCATGTCTGAGTCTTGTGACACCATGGACTGTGGCCTGCCAGGCTCCTCTGTCCAAGGGATTTCCCAGGCCAGAATGCTGGAGTGAGTTGCCATTTGCTTCTCCAGGGGATCTTCCCAACCTGAGGATAGAACCCATGTCTCCTTCATTGCAGGCAGTCTTCTGTATTGCAGGCAGATTCTTTATCAACTGAACCACCAGGGAACCCCCTATAGTCTTCATTGCTTTGTGCTAAATGGAGACCTCAAGTAAATTTATAATATTCAAATTGTAGTCAACTAATGATATTTTGGGATGCTCATTTTACAATTAATTGACTACTATTCCAATCTCATAACATTTTGATAGTCTGTGCTTCATATTTCTACTCTCATGGGTCCCTGCTTCTTCAAAACATGTAGACAGATTCATTTGTATTAATAGGAAATATACATTAAGATAAAAGATCTCTTGAGGTACCCATGATGACAGAATAAAATGAATTGAATTTCAATGGGATGTAATATTAGGTTAAAACAGAAATTCCAAGATGATCTTCTCATATTGCATTTTTAAGAATAAGGAACTAGGCAGCTTAGATTTTTAGGAAAGCATTTAGACTACTTCTAGAAAACTCTACCCCATATTTTAATAAAATACCATGTATGTATATCACACATGAGCAGTTATATCTGAAATTAAGATAGAACATGTTAATAACAATTTGAATGTATACAGAGCCATGAGTCTTTAACTATAAAATAATCTTTAACTATCAAATAGTCTTTGTCAAATGAATATCCTCTAATATCTAGAATTATATAAAGAAAAGCTTTATTTGTAGCATCTTGAATTTTTCCTTTCTGTTTACTTTTACACTTCCAGAAAAGAGATATGCATTTTTCACTAGAGTGAATCAATTTTTATTGGAAATGAATTTTATGCTTTATAATACCAGAAAGCAGTATCTTCTGTAACAGCTGATAATCCCCTCTGGTACAAAGCACTGAGCACATAGACTTGCTCTGAAGGACCTGTGGATGCCAAGGGAAAGCCAGGCTGCAGATCTATTGAGCACAAGGGACCTAGTCCTGCCTTGACCACCACTCTGCCAGGCCCCAGACTCCAGTCTCCTCCCGCGTGAGCAGTGAGTAACCTAGGGCAGCAGTTCTCAAAGAACGGACTGGTTACCCTGAGGAGACTTCCTTCCTTTCAGGGAGCCCACAAAATCAAAATCACCTTTATGGTATTATATTATCTGATACTTGCAAATTTTGGTCCTGGAGAAAACTCTTGAGAATCCCTTAGACAGACCAGTCAATCCTAAAGGAAATAACCGTGAATATTCATTGGAAAGACTCATGCTGAAGCTCCAATCCTTTGGCTACCTGATACGAACAGCTGACTCATTGGAAAAGACCCTGATGCTGGAAATGATTGAAGGTAAAAGAAGCAGGCAGCAGAGGATGAGATAGTTAAATAGCATCACTGCCTCAATGAACATGAATTTGAGCAAACTGCAAGAGATAGTAAAGGACAGGGAAGGCTGGCATGCTGCAGGCCGTGGGGTCACAAAGATTCAGACATGACTGCGGGACGGAACAACAACGTGTGTGCACGCGAAGTTGCTTCGGTTGTGTCCGACTCTTTGCCACCCTATGGACTGTAGCCCACCAAGCTTTTCTGTCCTTAGGATTCTCCAGGCAGGAATACTGGAGAGGGTTGCTATTTCCTTCTACGGGGGATCTTCCCAACCCAGGGATCGAACCCACATCTCATGTCTTCAACCCTGGCAGGCAGGTTCTTTACCACTAGTACCACCAAACAACAACAGCAAGGTATTATTTGCTTTTTTAAAATCTCGTCTTCTCATAGGTACACAGTGGAATTTTCTAGAGGCCACACAACACATGATATTACAACTGACTGAACGTGGAAGCAGCTTTCTTCTAGGCAGCCAGACACTACAGCTCTTTGCAAAAATACAGAACTCTCCCACTGTCTTGCAAAAGTATTTTTTTCTGTCTTGGAAAATATTATTACTTTTTATTTTTAAAATGTTATCTATGTCAACATATTTTAGGTTTGTCACCTTAGTTTCAGTGAACAAAAAAGTAAACCGTTTAACCATGTCTCCATTTTAATTTCTAATATGAGAACCATCAGTAGATATAGCCAACAAATCAGTTCTTTGGGGGTCTTTGAGAATTTTTAAGAATGAAAAGAAGTTGTGAGAGCCAAAAGGTTGAAAACTGCTTCATGAGGGCATCTCTGAGAAGACTTTTGACACTAAATCCCATGATACCAAGTTTGGCAGGTTCCATGGATGTTAACTCCATTGACAAGATGGACATGAATCTATGAACCCAGATAATCAGGAAACTCTTGTGAGACATTCCATCCTTCTCTGTTTGAGCGGTTCTCATTTTGCTCCTCTCTGCTCTCTGAATGCCTTGCTAATAAACCCACCAACCCACACCCACACAAAGAAAATGGGAAAAGCTGTGGGCATCAGTAAAGGCTTGCGAAAGAGCACATTTCCTCCCCCACCCTCTCCAAGCCCCCAGGTCTGATCAAGACATTCTTGGGTACCAGTCCCTCTTTTTATTAATACAATGAACTTTTCACCCCAGGGGTCACCACCACACAGTCCCTCTCCAGGACAAAGGCCCAAAACAGGCGAGTGAGTCAGCAGCCACAGATGAGTGGCCCACCAAGAAATATTCTAGAACTTTAGACTTGCTCAGGCCCCACTCAGATTCGAAACGGAGCTTCCTAAGTGGTTTTCAGAACCCTAAGGGGTTTTTACAGCCAGGATCTGAGATTGACATTATCTACAACTGGATGAGCAGCATCAGCTTAAATTCTATCCAGCAGGAAGCAAGGAATAGTTTTCCATGAAAGGTGAGTTCATTTTGTAATAAACGGAAAGTTGGAACACCCAGGGTCGGGGAAGATCCCCTGGAGAAGGGAATAGCAACTCACTCCAGTATTCTTTCCTGGAGCATCCCATGGACAGAGGAGCCTGGTGGGCAACAGTACATGGGGTCACAAAGAGTCAGACACAACTGAGTGACTGAGTCACAAGTGAGTCACATAGAGGAACACCCAGAACTCAACCTCACCAGGACCACAACCCCCACCCTGGGCTTTTTATTCTGGTGACCGGTCATCCTCCAGTACAACCACTAAAGGTGGAAAACTGGGCTTCTTCCCAGCTCTGTCGCCTTCAGAGTCCGTGCTCTTCCCTTTCCCAGCCACATCCCAGCTCCTCCGCTCCCAGTCTGTTTCAACGATAAAATTTAATGATCCTTCCTACAATTTAAGGCTGGGGTGGAGACTGGAATGGAGAATATAAGTGCTCTGCTCTCTGCTATTACTTTTATCTTCTGTGAGTCCGTGCAGTGACACCGATCCAGGACCTCCCCCAACCAGCACCCTGCTTTATGTATGAGGGAGAGCAAAGCGAGTTTTAAACCTCCTTTCCTGTGAAGTTGAGTGCTTCACAGTTTTCAAAGCACTTCTCTCATTTGATCTCATTTTATCCTCACAACAACTCGGGTGATTCTCACCACCCCTAATGAAGAAAGCAGAGAACTATATTTGCATTGTAATTATCATGTTGCCCAGAATGGGCGTCCTCCTTTGAGAAGGAAACTGATCTTATCCACTGCGTTTAGCTCAGGTTTTTTTTGTTGTTTTTTTAAGACCAGACCATGGTGCCCACTTTGAATTGCTAAAAGCCACTCTACACCAAAGTGCAGGCTTAGATAGTGGCTGATTTGGCTGAAAGTTATGATCCACACCTGCCATGTGCCCAAAGCTACAGACATAAGTAAGTAGTTAGACTATTCGTGGGGTCTTACCATTTTCACCAGATGGCTTGTCTTTTCCATTGGTCGTCCCAGCTCCTTGTCGCTAAAGGCATTAAAAAAGAAAGAAATTGTTATCAGTCACTTTCAGGATTATTTTTGTCTCTTTCATTGTTTCCAATACTTCTTGCATCATATCAAGTTCTATGTCACTTTAGCTCAAGATGGTTAAGGCATGATGTTCGTGAGACCAAGAAAAGATCAATCCAAGACAGGATGTTTTGAAATGTCACAGACTGCCTCCCTGGACCAGAACCACTGCTCTGTGAATTCAGTTCACTAGTCACAAGGGACAGCAGACAGGAGACTGTTGACGGAACATAGCATCAACAGAAACACGAGGGAAGCAGCAAAGAGTTTTCACCAACTGTGACAAGATCAGAGCTATCACTTTTGTCAATGATTACACTGCCACATTTTTATTCCAATCACTATGTTCAATGTCTCATCTTCAAATATATGGTAATCAATTTTTAAAAGTCTCATGTCAATGGTCAGAATCTCTCCTATCATTAGGTTACTTTTCTGTCCATGTTTATGCCTATCTTGTGTATTTTCAATTTACCAGGTTGACCAAAAGGAATGTCTTATGGTTAATCTTGAATCTTTGGGCAAGATTCTCTGAATAGGTGGCCTGGGGAGCTATGTGCAATGTATTGCACATGGAAGCATTTAAGCATATTTCCTCAAAGCTTATCCAGCGACTACATTTAAATAACATGCTGTTCAGAATTGTTCTAGTCCATGGAGAGAGAAGTCTTTTGTCAGTCTAGTTTTCTGGTCACCATCAGAAAACATGCTTCAAGTTAAGAAAAACAAAGTGATTGTAAAGTCTCTAGCTTTCAGGTGCAGAAAAAGAGGCCAGGCAGCAAGCTGATTTGTCCAAGTTCACAAAGCTAATTGTGATACAGTCAAGACTGGAGACTGGACTTCCTGCCAAGGTTAGTACCTTGCAGGAATAGTTATCATTATGTAACTCTCTGATGGGATTCTGGAAAGAGAAGCAAGGCACTGACCAAAGAGAAAATCAATATAGGTGACTCCCATCAAGGATCAGAATGAACTTAAAATTTAAATTTGAGTCCAAGACTTCAGTGTAAAGCAGTATTAAAAAAAAATTATTAGTTCCTATTATTGTCCAATGTCATGAGAAATTCCCAGGCCTTTGGCCAACCCTTGATTAACAGAAGCTGGATCATCTGGAAAAATCTTGCTTGCATGTTCTGATTAGTGTAAATAAATATGGCAAATGAATGATAGAGACTTATGTGAACAAATTTAACCATCCCTGTGTACGCTTACTACCTGGTGCAGATGATAACTCCAGAGAGAGGAAAAGTCAAGCCTTCCATTTATTACAAATCCCACCACACACATGCCACACACAAACACACACACACCCCATGTACACACAGACTCCATCTCAGTCAATGAGAAGTGCAAATGCCCACCCAGGTCAGGAGAGAACTCTGCTTCATTCCAAGAAGAAAAACCACCTCTCTCTGGCAGGAAGTGGAAGGAAAGCCTAGATAAATGTGGGTTCCTTCCTCTCATTTAATTTAAAACATTTTTTTCAGAATCCAGACCTGCCCATGATCCCATGGAAGAAGAAGGTTGTGGTACTGGCCAAACATCCACTGATCTTCAATAAATTTCTCCCATTTCGTTCGCTGTATCATAGCATCTTTATCTAACGCACTCAACTTGTAACACATCATCATCTCGATTTAAACCAGATTACACATTTCTTAAATACAGTAGATTTGTAAGTGAAAATGCCACTTTATTCTTGCCTGTGTTTACTCAGTTTCATTTTTTTTAAACAGAAAGCTGGTAAATTTGCTGCACAGGATGGAAATTTGGTCACCATGGTGAAGGATCAAAAGTGACACAGCAGCCAGTTAGGGGTCGAACCGCTCCAAGGTTTAAACCCTCCATTCTTCCCCACACAGTTCATAGAAGACTCAGAAGACATGGCAAATTCCACAGAATAAAAGGACAGGGTTTTAGAGCTGAATAAAGCAAATTCAATGGCATACAAGTGCAAAAGAGGTGCACATCCAGCTCCATTATCTTTAAATACCTTAAACACTGACACCTTTCAAATGTCCTGAATACTTCATTCCATAAAAGATCACCTCTAAGAAACCTGAAGGAAACCAAAATGAAATGTGCACTGGGGAAGAAAAGGGGTTCGTTTTCTAAGAATTTCTAAGATAGGAGTTTTGTGTCAGGTCTTATTCGATGGAGGCAAAATGAAGCTGATAGATGTCATAAGGAGATTGTGTCTCGCATCAGAGAATGATCCCTACAAAAAAGAACTAGTCATCCAAAACATCTTGTTTCAGAATTCTTTCAGACCTGGCGGCATTTTTAAGACAAGGCTGAGAACAGTGAGGGGAACAGTCAAGAGGGCTCTTGTTCCTGTTCCAGGGGTCTCCAGGGCCATCACCTGTGATTGTTTTATCACTAGGAGGGGAACTGAAACTCCCCTAAACCAAGTATCTGAAGTGGGCCTGAGTCAGGCTGGGGCTCGGGGTGCCGAGGCCAGACAAGCTCCAAGTGGTCCTGGGCATTACGGGCTCAGTGAATTACGACAGCATCCTTAACCAGGCAGATACCACCATGGTCCTCATCAGCATCACTCTACATACTGTATCCCCAGGCAGAGAGGACTTGCTCAAGGTCACAAAGCTGGGAAGTGGCAGAGCCTGAGCTCCAACCCAGAGGCTCTGGCTCTTCAGTTGACCTTTGAACCACTGAGCCTGCATATCCCCTAGCATTCTTCTGAGCCCACCCTACCTCCACCCAACACACCAGCAGGTGGGGAGATTGCTACGTGGAGGGCAGACAGCACCACAGAGAAAAATAGCTTAACAGAAAATGCATCACCATCAACACCCTGCTTCTATCACCAACGGGAAGTGTGGGCTTCCCTGATGGCACAAGTAGTAAAGCATTCTCCTACCAATGCAGAATACGCAAGAGACCCGGGTTCAATCCCTGGGTCGGGAAGATCCCCTGGAGCAGGGCATGGCAACCCACCCCAGGATTCTCACTTGGAAAATTCCATTGACAGAGGAGTCTAGTGGGTTACAGAGAGTCAGACACGACTGAGCACACACGCACTGACGGCCTCTGCAGAATTTCTCAGGAAGTATAAGAGCCCTGTCTAAGAACACAGACCAAAATGTTAATGTGACAGCATTGGAGCCTCCTTCTTCTGCAGCACATGCAGGAGGCTTGAGCAGGGAGGTTTCCTTCCTCGGGGATGTTAACTATTACAGGGATAGCATTTCAGAGTTTGATAAATCCCAGTTAAGTAGAGAACAGACTTGTAGACATAATGGGGGAAGGAGAGGATGGGACAAATTGAGAGAGTAGCCCTGAAACATATACATTGCCATATGCAAAACAGATAGCCAGTGGGGATTTGCTATATGACACAGGGAGCTCAACGCTGTGCTCTTTGACAACATGGGGTGGGATGGGGTGGGGGTGGGAGGATCAAGGGGGGGACATATGTATGCCTCTGGCTGATTCATGTTGATATATGGCAGAAGCCAACACAACATTATAGGGCAATTATCCTCCAATTAAAACTAAATAATTTTTTAAAAAGGAGCCTAAATGAAGAATAAGCGTATATAGTTCCTTCTTACAATCCAACATAACACTAAATACTCATGAAAAGGCAGGACTGGTTTTCAAAAGTATGGTTCTTAGAGTGATTTTCCCTGTCAGTCCCCTGACACCAAGGGCTACAGGGAGATGACAAGGAACATGTCTTAGCTTGGCTTCCCAGAAAGCAAAGTGCAAGGCAAGAGCTGTTTGTGCTACAATTTAATTGGGGAGGGAGGTTCCAGGAATGAGTGGGGAGGACAGGTGGTGGGGCCCAGACAGCCATGCAAGGAAACGGCATCTGGTAGGCACTGCCAGGGGCACCCAGACCTCGAGACTGCACCCTCCAGCGATGCTCGAACTCTGTTCGAGGACAGACTCCCAAGATCCATCAGCTCCCATCTCTCACTGGCCCAAGACACACACTCTAGGGCTTAATTCCCGATGATTCTAGTCTGGGCCATGTCTCCAACATGGTGTCTGCCCGAAGACAAGGAGGACACCCCTGGGAAGGAGATGGAGACACACGGCATGGGCAGGAGGTGACATACCATCACTTAAATCTGCCTGAAGCCTGCAGAGCCCACGCTGGCTGCCCACCCACAGGGCCCTCCCTGATGGGACCTGAAGTGACAAAGGAGAGGTGTCTGACTCAGCACATCAACTTGGCTGGTGGGTCTTTTCAACCAAGTTGCAAGCTCACGGACAGTCCTTTCATATTAGAAACTTCACTAGTGGAACAAGCCACATCAATTTTCTGGTAAATAACCAGCTTTGGAGCCACTTCTTCCTGTATTGTGAGCTCAGAGTGTGTGCAGTCACTTTTTGCTACACCTAAGGGTTGGGACTCATTGGAAAAGACTCTGATGCTGGGAAAGATTGAGGGCAGGAGGAAAAGGGGGCGACAGAGGATGAGATGGTTAGAAAGCATCACCAATTCAATGGACATGAATCTGAGCAAGCTCCGGGAGATAGTGAAGGACAGGGAAGCCTGGTGTGATGTAGTTCATGGGGTTGCAAAGAGTCAGACATGATTTAGTGATGAAACAACAGGGGCCATGCACACATCAGTAAGACCCGTCTCAACCGTGTTGGTTGGAAGAGAAAGTGTGCTGTCGTCCTACCCATCACCAACAGACTGAAGCCCAATCCTACTGTGTGACCATCACAAGCCCCCATGTCCTCTGTTCTTCCTTGTGAGATCTATCACAAAACCTTTGTGTTCTTTGAGTATTTATCAAGTCACTGGCTAAGGAGAGTGAAGTGTTCACCCACCTTGGGCGCAAAATTTAAGATGGCATCAAGAAACTCGTTAATCAGAACAAACACTGCCTGGGATCATGTTTGCATGGAATCTGAAGGAGAAAAAAAAGTCAGGGTGATAGGAGCAGAGAGTGAAATGGTGGTTTCCAGGAGCTGGGGTGGGGGAAAGGGGAGAAGCTGGTAAAAGGGTACAAACTTGGTTATGAGCAAGGTTAGAAGATCAAATGTGTTACATGGTGACTATGGTTAATAACACTCTGCTATAAAATTGAAATTTGCTAAGAAAATGAAACTTAAGAACTCTCAGCAAAAAAAAAAAAAGGTAAAAATTTTAGGTGATGGATGTTGAAATTAAACCGATAATGGGACTCCTTTCACAGTGTACAAATATGTCAAATTTTCCAGTTGTACACTTTAATCATGTTACAATTTTATTTGTCAAGTATACACCAAAAAGGGCTTCCCAGGTATTCAGTGGTAAAGAATCTGCCTGCCAGTGCAGGAGATGTGGGTTTGATCGCTGGGTCTGGAAGATCACCTAGAGAAGGAAACGGCAACTCACTCTAGTATCCTTGCCTGGAGAATCCTGTGGACAGAGGAGCCTGGCAGGCTATAGTCCAGAGGGTCACAAAGGGTCGGACATGACCTAGCAACTAAACAACATACTTCAACAAAACTGGAAAAAAGGTGAATATTAATGCAATATTTTAGAAAATCAAAACTACTGCAAGAAGTCATGATAAACAAAATACCCACATTTTGCACACAGATGAGACAGATGGGAACCACTGACATTTCCTTTTGCCACACTCTTGTGTGGCTCTCCCAGGTGCTGGCCATGTTTCCCTAAAGCAAATAAAACACTCAGGAAGTTGAGTAATTTCATGGATTTACACAATTATTCTAATATGGTCTTTGAAACCTTTCTTCTACAGCTCTCTCAAGGGCCAAGACTGTGGGTTATGATTCATGCTGTCATTTTTCAAGTTTTTATTCTATGATTTCTAGAATACTGCAGTGGAGGGTCTCGCCTTTCATATTTTCCTGTTGATAACCCATAAAATCGGTCATGCCAATCATATGTTGTATAGGACCCAGAATCACTAAAACCTGCTTCCTCAATAAAGCAGACCCAGAACCCTGGACAGATTATGTCTGCTTGGAAAATCCATTCAGCCAGTACATATTGCTTTCATCTTTAGGATAAAACACAAGTTCCCATGAAAAGACATTTGCTTTTCATTTCAGAAGGCTGGAGAGAATGAAATGTGAAATGAATTCCAGAGGGGCACAAATGACAGTTCAAGAAGATTTTCTGAATCTGCACCCACTAAGTGGATAAACCTGTCTTCAAAAACTTGGCTTGTTCCTTAATTTGATGAGCTATGACTCCAATATTTTGGCCACCTGGTATGAAGAGCCAACTCATTAGAAAAGACCCTGATGATGGGAAAGATTGAAAGCAAGAGGAGAAGGGGATGACAGAGAATGAGATGACTGGATGGCATCACCTACTCAATAGACATGAGTTTGAGCAAGCTCTGGGAGATGGTGACGGACAGGGAAGCCTGGCGTGCTGTAGCCCATGAGGTCACAAAGAGTCAGACACAACTGAGCGACTGAACAGCAACAAAAGACTCAACTAGAGGGTGACTAATTTCAAAGACCCCTTAGGGTGGGGGAACAAACTGCCTTCTGCAACAGTAAGGGTCCCAGGGCATCGCCAGGGTCCCCAGGGTTCCCGGAGTCCCCCAGCTCTCCATCCCTTCTTCTTCCATCTCCCCCAGCACCTCGCCCACTGTGCCACAAAATTCTGGAAAGAGCTGCATGCGTGAATTTGCTTTGGCAACACTGGAGAAAAGACCACCACCCTCACGGCCCCAGATCCAGAACGGCCCGTAGAAGTCTTTGGCTCCTGAAGGCATTTCTTCTCATCCTCCTTATCAAGCCATCAGGATAGGAGAGGTTATGAGTGAGCTCCTCACAGCCCTGGGGTCAGCTTGTCAGTGCTGCTGCATTAGGAAAATTCCCGTCAGAGGACTTTGGTCTCACCCAAGTTAAGAAATAAAAGATTTCATGCAGAAGGAAGATGGTACCACACAGAAACTCAGATCCACCATAAGAAAATAAGAAGTTCCAGAGAGATTCCAAAGGAAGCTAAATTAACACTTCCTAATTGCTCTAAAAATAACTTCCTAAAGAAAGATCCCGCTGAAATTTTGTTAAAGGGCTGGGTAGTAAATATTTTAGAGTCACAGGCCAAGTGGTCTCTGCTGAAAATACTCAAGTCTGCAGTTGTAATGTGGAAGTAGCCCTAGACAATATGCAAACACTAGCTGTTTTCCAATAAAACATTATTTATTAAAAAAAAATTAGGTATATTCAGCACTGTGCAAAACTATTAGCAGTGAAGTCATGGATTCAGTGCCAGACAGAGGCTGTGAGCAACTCAGGGGGTGACTGGCCCCTGTATTCACAATTTACTCCTCTTTCCTTGGGCCAGGCAGTGGGCCAGGCCCTAAGTGTCCCCAGGAGAAGGAGGATATGCTCTGACTTTGGTTGGTCACAGCCTGGAGGGAGAGAGACTAAACCAACCATCTCAGATGGTGGGTAAGATAGGACCCAAGATGACCAAGTTCAGGGCCATGGGTTAGGGTCCCCCAGCTCACACTGGAGTGAGTAGGGGGTCAAGGACAATTCCACACTTTGAGGGGGGGAATGAGTCACAGTGACCCCACAAGCTGGGCAGAGCTGTGGAAATGCCTTACCAAGTTCCCTCCTGAGAAGGAAAGACGGTGACCTCCGGCTCCTGCTGTCACATTAAGGACCTGCCATGCAGCAAGTTCGCTCTCACATCCACCCATCAGTGACAGTGTTTTCCAAAAGAGACATGACTTGGCATTATCAAGTGGATGGTATCACTGTCTCAAGGGAAAGGAAAGTATGTGTTTCAAGGCATTTTTTAACATTTTCCCCTCTGTCCCCAATGTCTGACTTCTGTTGGACTTTGTCTGAAGCTCCAGTACTTGACCATCTGATGAAAAGAGGTGACTCATTGGTTAAGGCCCTGATGCTAGGAAAGATTGAGGGTAGGAGGAGAAATGGGTGACAGAGAATGAGATGGTTGGATGGCATCACCAACTCAATGGACATGAGTTTGAGCAAGCTCTGGGAGATGGTGAAGGACAGGGAAACCTGATGTGCTGCAGTCCGTGGGGCCTCCAAGAGTCACACACAACTGAGTGATAAGCAACAACAACCAAGAAGTTATAGAGATTCGGCAAAAGAATGAAAGAAGCATCCACCCCACCCCCTGAGTTGCTTAGAAGCTCTTGTCAGCAAGTGCTCCTTCACACATTCTATCCCCTGGTGGTGACTTTGCTCTGAAGTTGTTTCTTCTCCAAGACTCTGTCTTCCTTTTGTGTGGCTGCATCCTGATATTCAGATTGCTGATGGCTCAGGGATTCTGGCGCCCCTTAAATGCTAGCATCGTGACAAGCAGATCCTCAAATGGGTCATAAATAAGGGGAAAATGCCAATCTGTGCGTTTGGAGGCTAGAAGACTCTCAGGGAACATGAAGGCTCAGATAATTGCAATATTCTTTGCAGAATCGATATCCTGCACACAGAAGAGAGGGCAAAATGGAGAAAGGGCCCCAGAGTTCTCATTCCATCCTTCGAAGATGTCTTTTGATGACCATGTTTATAAAGAATGAAACAGAAGTGTTTCTATGGTATTATATTAAGGTGTTTTTCTATGGTATTATGTTTAATTTTTTATTGATGAAAGATTGTGAGTCTTTTAGATGAAATATCAGATTTTAAGTGGACAGTGATGGGGAACCATGGCGATCACATAGTGAAGTAAGATTAACAGCTGGGTTGGCCAGCACAGGTAGCTGATGTGGGCTCGGGGCCACCACCATCATGAAATCAGTGGTTTCTCAGTGACATGAAAGACCTCTTCTAAAGCAAAGGCCCCGAATTTGTCTGAAGAGCAGAAGAGACTATCCTGCCAACATTGTGTGATCAGAACAGAATTGATGTAATTTCTTAGCATTGATCATTTTAAAATCATCTATGATTCTCCTGGTAATACTCAAAAACTGAACATTTTAAAAATCCAGCAATTTAATCCCTAAAGGTCAGAAGAGAACTTCAACTGGAAGGATTTCAAAGAAAGTCAAAAAGTTGGTTAAAAAGAAAATGATGGGATCTTCATGACAAAGGCATTAACCTTTATAATTCTTCCTATTTCTTCTGCCTTCTGATACTACATTCAGCTCGGAGCATTTTTATCCTGACCTTTATGTTAATAGAAGCTATTAGCATGGCTGTGGTGAGACAGGCCATCTATCCCTCATTTTTAGGGATTGGCAGTTTGTTTTATTGAAATTCACTTTATACTTTATCCTATAGCTATATATTTTAAATGAGTATTTTCTACCCTTAAAAACTTTCTCCATGTCCATTTTCTTTTTCAGTAATACTATTTTCTACTTATTTAAGTGAGATAGGGCCATAACGAAAATCTTAGAAAATAAATACACAAGGAAGAAAGCAAAACACTTGTAACCCAACTGTTTGGAGTTAATCTATGCTAACTATCCTATCACCCTCAGAAGTTCTTTTTTAGGATAGTCTAAACCTCAGTTATAAGATTGTAAACATGTCAAGGCTCACCAACTATACAACTAAAAAGGATAATTTTTACTGTATATAAAATATACCTTAATAAAATTGATTTTTAAAAAAGAAAGAAAAGAGTGTACTGTTTTCAGGCTGACCAGGCTCTGCAACCCTTTCACTTAGCAGCTGTGTGACCCTGTGTGTGACACAGGACATCTCTGAGCCTCAATTTCTGCTTCTATAAGCCAAAGATGATAATACACCCACATCATCAAGTTGTGAGAATTCAATGAGATTGAAACATTCACACTGCCTGGAGGAGATCCCTAAAAAAAGTCAGCCTGCAAAGTAATGCAGAAGAGGCTTGGAAAGAAAACTGACTCTTTGTCCCCATTGTATTTTTCTTGCAGTATGTTAACAGCGACCCAGGGAGCTCAGCAAAACTTTAGGAAGGAGGAAGCTCAGTAAAACCTGAGGAAGGAGGAAGCCCAGCCTTCATGTGCAGCCGGAGGAACCCTGCAAAAGGATTCCCTCAGCTTTTTCTGCACCTGTTCAGTTTCCTCTTCTTGGAGAATTCAAATAAATATGACTAAATTAAGCGTGTATTTCACATGTCTATGTGAGAATCCGAAGACAGAATATTGGTATTTATGATCGTTTTTTTTTTTTTCATAAAGTATCCAGCCTTCATCTGCTAGTCGTTAGATTGTGAATTTCAGTTGAATTTTCCTCTGCTTCTGCTGTGCATGTGTTTGTGTGTTTGGTATAAATCGCTGCTGTCATTTTTTTCTAGAAAGAGAAGATGCAAGAAGAGAGTAGATATGATCAAAGAAGGAAGGTGGACGGAAGCCCTCTTTACATGTGTGCCTCTTACCTGATCAGCAGACTCTCCCTGAGTCTGAGGTTGAATAAAAGGACATGTGGGTTGACTCAACCTGACTCAGCCGCCTTTGGAAACCCCACAGGTATGCAGGATGCTAGAACGGGGCTCCGGGACCCTTCAGACAGCTCTCTCTCCATAATTCACTCTGTCCGGGTGTCCCGACTTATTTTTTGTGTGTAACTAACTTCACAGACTCTTGCCTGGGCGCTTGGTAAGAAAGGCAAAGCTTAGTCTCCATGCACTGACTGATCGTGTGGAAGCACCGATGCTGATTCAGCCCCATCCGCTACTTCACGTGCCTCTCTGAGAGGGGCTGTTCCGGGCTTTA